TCTTCCAATCAAACCATAAAAAAGAAGGAAGTGAAGGAAGTGAGCCAGGAGGACATCACACTCGGGCGGGCTAATGCTCCCCTCCCGATAGAAGTCCGAGAGTCCGGTAGTAACCGAGACGAAAGAGGAGGCCATTGCGACGAGGACCAACAACCCGGCACGTCGCGAGGAACACCGCAGTCGAGCCTGAAGACTCTGTGTGTTCATGGGCACGAGCAACCAAAGTGGTGTCAAGGTAGGATGCAAACCGGGCCCCCTATCCTCAAAGCGGATCGGGACCATAGAATTGGCCGCCCGCAAACGCCGGACCATCGCCAAACCGATAGTCGAAGGTTCCAACACGGAACCACTAGAAGACGACGTCATTGACGTCGGTGAAGACCCCAAGCCAGCGGAAGACAGTCGGAGTCAGAGCTCCGAATCCAGCCAAGACAATGTTGCGCTGGGCAAGCGGAAGAGGGGAAGACCCCCTACCACCTTCCAACACTTAATCAAGAAGAAGAAGGTGGAGCATAAGAAGGAGATCGCCAAGCTTAAGGCCGAGAAAATGGCCTTAAAAGCGATCATGGACCCCAGAGTCATCCCGCGTGACCTCACGCCCGAGAGGGAGCTGGTCATCCAGATGATCGAGATGTCTACCGAACAAGTAGCGGCGGAAATGTTCAACAACATTAACGTTGTTAATAAAGTTGCCGACAGGTCCAAAAACCTGAAGGGAACTTTCGTGAGGGAACTCCGCAAGAGCTCCAACAGTATGAGGGCCGCGGTAATGGCGCTAAAGTACAAACTCTCGGCCACTGACGTCAGGACAAGAGAGAGGGAGATGCAAAAGCTGCGGGACAGGATTAAGAGCTTGGAAGATCAAATCGACAGGCTGTTATCCAGAGAGACACCAGCCCAGACAACTGAGCTACGGCGGACCCGGGATATAGACAGAGAGCCAGGTAGACAGAGAAGGGACCTCCCCCCCTCAGAAACCCCTGGCAGGTCGCTGGCCGAACAGGAGCCAGCAGAGACGGAGATGGTTATGGACGTGGAACCCGTCTACCGTCCGGAAGTCCAAGGAAAGCGGACGGCACTGAGGGAGCCCCCGATAGAAACAGCGATGGAGGACGTCCGAAGAGTTATGCAGGACGTCTCCATCGCGGAGACCATCAGAGGGGACCCAGCGACGGTGAGGAGCAACCTCGCCAACCTGGTGGCAAGGTGCGAAGGGATGATAGCCAGAATCCCGGAGAATAGGGACACCCAGCCCCGCCAGCAACAGCCTGAGAAGCCGAACAAGTCGGGGAAGAGATCAGGCGATCCTGCCCCGGCTAAGAAAAGCCTGCCCACTATCACCAGCATGGTGGTGGTGAAGAAAGCTGGCGAGACTACAAACAAGGGGAAAGCAAAGCCTCTTGCGAAAGCCCAACCAAGAGCTAGGGATAAGTTTAGGCCTAGGAGTCGTCCAGAGCCCAAGACGGACCAAGGGGCAGTCAAGAGGGATGTCGCTAAGGCGCGGGAGAGGCCGCAACCGAAGAGGGAGCAACAGCAGCCACCGCCCCAAACACAGAGACCGAAGGCGGCCTCACAAACAACCTGGTCGGAGGTTGTTAAAGGAGGGAGAAGAAGGAGAGAAACTGGGGCCAACCAAGCCCCAGCCTCCCAGCCCGCGCAATCTACAAAAAGCGCCAGCCAGCCAGCAGGCAGCGGCGCGCGCGGCGCGGGCAAGAGCGGCATGCAGGGACAGGGAACAACGGTCGCGGGAAGGCGCAGAGCGCCTAGAACCCAAGCGGTCACCCTCACCTGCCCGCCCGGCATGTACGCTGAGCATTTGAGGCTCGTTAGGTCCCAAATTAACCTGGAGGACCTGCAGATCAAAGAACTCAGACCGAGAAGAGCCCTCACGGGGGCGATGGTCCTTGAGATTCCCGGCGAGGGAGCGAAGGAGAAGGCGGACAAGCTGGCAGAACAAATGCAGTCTGTCCTAGGAGAGAAGGAGGGCGTCAGGGTCTCGCGGCCGACCAAGCTCGCCGAGGTCCGTGTCAAGGACCTTGACGACTCCGTGTCTCAGGAGGAGGTGAGAGATGCCGTCGCTAGGGTGGCAGAGTGCGCCCCGAACGAGGTGAAGGTGGGTGCAATTAGGGTGGCCCCCAACGGCCTGGGCACCGCGTGGGTGCAATGCCCGGTCGCGGGAGCCAAGAAGGCCGCGGCGGCAAAGAGGATACGCATCGGGTGGACGGCCTCGAGGATTGAGCTGCTGGAGGCCAGGCCGCTCATATGTTTCCGCTGCCTGGAGCGCGGCCACGTGAGGCAGCAATGCCGCAGTACGGTGGACCGCGCCCAGTGCTGCTACCGATGCGGCCAAGAAGACAGGGCCCAGCAATGTGCGGCGAAGCCCAAGTGCCCCGTGTGCGCGGCCAAAGGACTTCCGGACGGGCACAAGGCGGGGGGGGAGCGGCCTGCCCCCCTCCCACCAAGAAGGAAGCGAAGAGGAGAAGGGGCGAGGAAAACGCGCCACGGGCAGAACCAGCCCAGGTGGCGGTCGACCAGACGGCGGAGTGTCCGCCGACTCAAGAGGCCATGGAGGTGGAGGTCCAAGCTCCCCCTCTCCCGCAAAGGGAGCCAAGGAAGAATAGGCGGGCCAGCCGAGCGGCAGCGGGCACGGAGGAGCCCGATCAACCGGCGCCTTCATGCCCGTAAGGATTGTGCAGGCGAACCTCAACCACGCCCGCCAGGCGCATGACTTGTTTGCGCAAACAATGGCGCAGCGCGGCTGCAGCCTTGGCATCGTGGCCGAGCCTTTCTGGATCCCTGATCATCCGTGCTGGACCGGGAGCCGAGACGGCACGGTGGCGATCCATTGGAGGAGGACCCAGACCCGACACACTCCGTGCACGGTCCAGGGTAGCGGAGAAGGATGGGTCAGTGGTAAAATGGGGCCCCATGGTGGTGATTGGGGTATACTTGAGGCCGAGCCTCAGCCGAGCACAGTTCGAGGCCCGGCTCGAGAAATTGGAGGACTTGGTTGCGGAGGCCCTTCCGGCGCCCGTCATGGTCGCCGGGGACTTCAACGCCAAATCGGCGCTTTGGGGTTCCCGGCGGCCTGACGCCAAGGGCTCAGAGGTGGTCGCGTGGGCCGCACGCCTTGGACTACATCTGGAGAACAGGGGTGCGACCAGCACATGCGTGAGGCCGCAGGGGGAGTCCATCGTCGATCTGACATGGACCTCCCCTGCGGCGGCGAGATTGGTGACGTCTTGGAGGGTGGCCACCGAGGTGGACCTCCTATCGGACCACCTCCTGATCGAAACGGAGCTCGTACTTGACACGGGAGGAGCGAGAGGGGGGAACATCGAACGCCCACGCCGATGGGCCATAGGGAAAATGGACGTGGACAAGTTGACGGCGTCCATCGTCGCAGAGACGTGGCCGGCGTTAGCTGAACGTGGGGACATCGACAGCCAAACGAGCTGGCTCAGGGACGCAATGACGCGGGCCTGCGACTGCGCCATGCCAAGGGCGGCCTTCGCACCCCGCAGAGCGACGTATTGGTGGACCGCCACAATCGCGGAGCTGAGGCGAGAGACGGTACGCGCGAGAAGGGAGCTCCAAAGAGCACGGAGACGGGCCGGTGCGACAGCGGAGGCCATAGCGGCGCTCCTGGATATACACAGGGCGAAGCGGTTGGAGCTGAAGAACGCAATCCGAAAGGCCAAGGAGCTCGCTTGGGAGGAACTCCTGTCGGCGCTGGACGCGGACCCGTGGGGACGCCCCTATAAACTGGTCATGGATCGGATGAATAAGGGGGCGCCCCCCGCGGTGGAAGCCCTGGACCCCGACTTCCTGGGTGAGGTCGTCCGGACGCTCTTTCCGGGGAATACAGGCGAGGAAGCCGATGTGGCGGATCCACCGGAAGACGAGGAGGAGACGGAACAGCCCGAGTGGCGTGAGGAGTTCGAGATTACGGAACTCGAATTTGCCAGGGCTGTCAAACGATTGAAAGCCGGAAAAGCCCCGGGCCCGGACGGGCTACCGGGAACGGCCTGGAAATTCGCGTTGTCGGACCCAAGCGAGGCATTCTCCGAAGCGGTCAGGGGCCTCATGACGAGGTGTCTGAGGGAGGGGGTGTTTCCCGCCCCCTGGAAGGAGACAAAGCTCGTTTTGATTCCGAAGAAGGGCAAACCCCCGGAGCAGCCTTCCAGCTACCGGCCGATTTGCCTCCTGGACGAGGCGGGCAAGATTCTAGAAAGAATCGTCACCTCCCGCCTCGTCCAGAGGGTGGAGAGGGACGACGGAGGAGGGCTCAACGCGCGCCAGTTTGGCTTTAGGCCAAACCGCTCGACGGTCGACGCCATCGAGTGCGTTAAAGCAAACGTGCGACGAATGACGGACAGGGGGGGAGTGGTGCTTGCCATCGCACTGGACATATCCAATGCATTTAACTCCCTCCCCCACGAGGCTATCAAGAAAGCCCTCGTAGAGATGGAGGTCCCGGGATACATTCGCAGAATAATTGCGAATTATCTCGCGGACAGGGCGGTGACCTGCGATGACAGGGACGGAACCCCCAGAAGATGGGCGGCGGCGCGCGGAGTCCCACAGGGATCCGTCCTGGGTCCGATCCTGTGGGACGTCGCGTACGACGCGGTTTTGAATGCAGCCCTACCCGCCGACGCCACCACGGTGTGTTACGCTGATGACACCCTGGTGCTCGTCGGCGGGAGGGACTGGGCGGACGCGACCGGCATTGCAAATGCGGCCATCGCGTGCACAGTCAGAGCCATCGAAGCCCTAGGGCTGAAAGTGGCGGCGAATAAGACGGAGGCTGTATTTATGTACAGCCGCCGCCGGGGCGTGCCGCCGGAGACTCACCTGACGGTAGGAGACACGCAAATCAAGGTGGGGGCCCAGATCAAGTATCTGGGCCTCCACATAGACGGCAGGTGGTCGTTCGAGGAACACTTCCTCAGGCTTGCCCCAGACTAGACAGCGCGGCCAACGCGCTGTCACGCCTGATGCCCAACCTGGGGGGCCCGAGCGGCAGAACGAGGAAACTGTACGCGAACATAGTTAACTCAATCGCGCTATACGGGGCGCCCGTGTGGGCACAGGCATTGACGAGCAACCGCAAAGCCATATCGGTGTTAAGGAAGGCCCAGCGCCGTATGGCGGTCAGGGCCACGAGGGCGTACCGCACTGTTTCGCACGCGGCGGCAACGCTCATGGCGCGGATGCCCCCTGTGGAGTTACTCGCCAACACGCACGCTGAGATGTACGCGAGAGTGGCAGAACTGAGGGCGAGGGGGGTCCTCGTCACAGCTAAGGAGAGAAGGCTGATAAGCCTTCAACTCAAGACGGACGTCAGGGAGGAATGGAGGGCCTGGTTGGAAAGACCGGACTGTGCCGGCCAGCGTACAGTCAGAGCCATCCTTCCTCACTTCAACGAATGGCTAGACCGGCCATGGCCGAGGGCGTCCTTTAGGACGACGCAGGTGCTCACCGGGCACAG